TACTGTGGTCTGGGAAGCCATCGGGAGGGCGAAAGGGAGGAGCTGTGGGTGTCTGCCCTGTCCCCGCGGGTGGAGGCTGGCCTGGACTCCAGGTGTCTTTCTCACTGCTTTTCTATAGCAGCTGGAATGTCACCTGTCCCCGGTCCAGCCAGGAAGGGTGCCCACCTGGACTTTTAAGATTCGTCCCATCATAGACAAGGTCAAAGTTTCAGATAACTCTGTGCCCCTCAGAGCCAGGGTGTGGCCCCGACACCTCCAGGGGTGGTGTTGGTCTGGGAGACAAGCCCCTGTGTGGCCAGGTGGCGGTGGTCTGACTCATTTTGAGGCCTCTTCCTGAGCTGGACCGAGGAGAGCTCACATCCGGAGGCGGCGCACGGTGCCCCTGGCTGAGACTTGCACGGGGTCTGCCTGCTTGCCTTACACCAAATGCACTATAACACGTGTCACATGACAGAAAAGTGCACGCGCATGAGCACAGCCTGATGGTGCCTCATGGCCCAGCACGCACCCAGCCCCCAGCGAAGAAACAGAAGTCCCCCTGGGGACCCCACGCAGGTACTGCTCCGAAAAGTCCCACGATGCTGCCTGCAGCCTCGTACCCGTTTGCCCGTTCCAGGCTCTGTCAGTGGGTCACACGGGCGCAGTTCTCAGTCTGGCTTCGTTCACTCAGCGTGTTTTGTGTGCTGGTAGACTGCTCACTCTTGGTACGCTGTCCCAGATGCTGCTGGGGGACTGTCTACTTCCTGTTTGCTGTGAATGAGCACTTTAGGCTGTTTCCGTTTGGGGTTTCATAGGGCAGAGCTGCCATGAACTTTCTGGTAACCTGTCTCTCGGTGACACATGCATTTCTGTTGGGCATATGCCTGGGAGTGGAAGCACCGGATCTGCAGACATCCAGGTATCGCAGACATTGCCAAAGAGTTCTCCAAAGAGGCTGAAGCAAATGCCACTCGTCCAGCAATGCCTACAAGCTCTGATTACCCGCCATCCATGTTGACACTTGTTATTTTCTGTCTTTTCAGTGTAGCTGTTCCGGTTTGATTTCTGTACTGTATTGGGAGGTTTGTTAGAGTGGATTGTTAAAGACAATCATGATAATTAATAATGGTGACTGAAAGGGTCAGACAGACACAGCCGTGCAGCGCTGCAGCCCTCATGTAGACAGTAAATTTGGACTTTCGCGCTCACAGTTACTCAGCATATGTAAAAGCCTGCCTGTCTTTATTGCAGTTTTGAAGGTACTTTCGCAGCTTGAAAATCCATTTTCGGGGGGGGGGGGGGGGGGGGGCTGGGCCCTAGAATGCTCGGAAAGGGGCGAAGTAGGTTTTTGGTTTCCCGAGACTTCCTCTTTGGAAATTAACCTCCTGGAAATTAGCTTCATGGAAGTTTCTGGAACCCCTTGTGTCCCAGATTGCTAGTGCAGCAGCAGGGTGACCGGCACGGGTCTGACTCTGTCGCTGGAACCCAAGGAGACCTGGACTGCAGGGGGCTTTCGGGCAGAAGTGCCCAGGGCCAGACAGGAGGTGACAGTGGTCCTGGGTGGTGGGAGGTGGGTGGGGGAGGGGAAAGTCACTGCCTGGAGCCCTGATGCCAAGCACAGTGCTTTGGGGGGGGTAGTGAGGCTGTGGATGGGAGCGGAGACTGACAGCCAGTGACACTTAGGACAGAACCCAGATGCCCAGTTGGCCAAACCTGGAGGGCTCCTGGGGGCTGGCCACCCTGGGAGGTGAAGCAGGTGGTTAGCTATGGGGGAGGGCTCTCCTCTGGGCTCCAGATGACCAGGAAAAGGTGAAGGAGATGGTTGCTGTTGAGAGCTTAGCATCCTGGTGTCCTGGGCCGATCATCCCACCTGAGGGAAACCCTGGGAGGCCACGTTGGTGTGTCCCCTGCCTCTGCTCAAGTGCAGTAGCTTCACTCAGGTGACGCAGGCCTGATGCACAGCCCTAGGCGCTGGTGTCACCGTGCTGGTGGCTGAAATATTGAGACGTATTGACCTGTGCTGGTTAATGGTCCCTGTCCCACGTCTGCCTCCTGCTCCCCCGGGACCCCCTGGATCTCATTAAGACCAGCAAGTACAGTAACGGTGAGCGCTGAGGGTGGCCGCCCAGCTGGGCGGGGCTCTGTCTCTGCTGTTAAGTCTGTGGGCTGTCACCCTTGGTTGGACGTCTGCTTCTCAGACTCCCAGGGAGCGTTTGCCTGTTGCAATGGCCTCAGAGAAACCAAATGCCTACAAGTCGCCCTTCCAGGCATCTTTGGGCACGGGCCCTCCCTCAGAAATGGACTTTCAAGCTGCAAAAGCACCCTCAAAGGCTGCAGGAAAGACAGGTAGGTGTTCACATATGCTGAGGACAGCAGTGTGAGCACAGAAGTCTGGGGGTGCGGATGGGGGTGACAAAAAGGGTAACAAAGGAGGACAGCTGGGGGGGCACTGCTCACCGAATCCATTCAGATGCTGCGCGATGAAGTCCCTGATGTCAAGGGGACCTGCTTGTGGGTCAGAATGAAAGAAAAAATGATAAAAAAAACTCAAGGGAGAAGCTTCAGTGGGCACGTCCTATCGGCACCTCTAAGACAGAAGGGGAGAGAGAGCTGTTAATTAGGGCCCAGTGAGGGGCTGACGACACGTGTGGGTCATGAAGGAACCTCGTCATGCACGGGGCAGAGCCGGGGGCGCGGGAAGGGGAGCGGGGTTGGTTCCTAATCCTGGCTCTGGCATCGGCCAGCTCTGCGGCCTCCAGCTGGTCACTCGCTGCGGGGGTGGGAGGGCCACAGTCTGTACATCTGGACACTGAGAACAATAGTAATGACCCTGAGCCTGGGCTGCTGGACGAGGACTCTCTGTGAGCAGGTGTGTGTGTGTGTGTGTGTGTGTGTGAGTGTGTGTGAGTGAGTGTGTGTGTCAGTGTGTGTGAATGTGTGTGTGTGTGTGTGTGTGTGTGTGTGTAAGAACACGATAAGCTGTTAAGTTGCAAATGCCCATAGAAATGAGGCGGTTCCATCGACTCTGCTTCTCAGCACGAGTTCTGGAACGTTCTCTCCTGTTGCCCCATTTGGCAGCAAGATGGAATGGCTCAAAGTAGGGACAGAACAGGACGCCTCTATTCGTGGTGCGCATAAATTAATTCCTAGACCATCATTATGGCGAGAAAGAGAGCTTTGCGGAAGCAGCAGATTGGGCCACAGAATTCAGTGGGAACAATGACCAAGTCAGGGCAAAGAAAGGCCGCCGAGTGTCCCCAGGGGTTGGCAGCGATTTCTCAGGAAATGCCACATGCGGGAGCTGGCAGGTGAATGCCTAGTGTCCCCAGACAGGCCTGTAAGACGGGCATTGCAGGAAGCAGGGATGCTTCTTCTGTAGTTAACGAGATACACAAGCGTTCGAAGTCCCCAACCCTCCCCTGGGGTTCCCCATGGCAGGCAGCAAACCAGGGGTGGAGAGCAACCCTTGAGTCCAGGACTTCCTCCTGCTGTTCAAATGCTGCCATTAGACGTCCCCTTCTTTGGCTCTTAAAGATTTTTTGACTTTGATAAATCTTTTTTTTTTTTTTAAGTGTCAACCACTCCTGGGGAGGGCCATTCACCTGTTTTTTTCTCCCCTTTTCTTTCTTTGTTTTATTGAGGTAAAATTCATACACCGTGAAATTAACCATTTCCACATGAGTAATCCAGTGGCATTTAGTATATTCACAGTGTTGTCCAAACATACCTCTGTCTAATTCCAGAAAGTTTTTATCACCCCGAAAGGAGACCTGGACCCGTTAGTTACTCTCACCCGCTGCCCCCCTTTGCTCCTGGCAACTGTCAGTCTGCTTTCATCGCTATGGGTTACCTCTGATGGATATTTTATAGAAATGGAATCATGTAGAGTGGAATTATATACAAGGAAACATGTTTTATATAAATGGAATCGTATAATACGTGGCCTCTTGTGACTGGCTTCTCTCACTTAGAATAATGTTTCTGAGGTTCATCCGCGTTGTAGCAAGCGTCAGCGCTCCCTTCCTTTTCACGGCTGAGGAATATTCCACTGTGTGGCCCGACCCCCGTTTCTTTACCTGTTCCCCCGTGGATGGGCGTCTGGCGACTTCCACTTTCTGGCTATTATAAGTAGGGCTGCTATGAGCACGCATGTCCAAATATCTGCTTGAGTATCTGTTTGCAATTCTCTGGGGTCTGTATCTAGGAGTGGAATTACTGAGTCCTATGTTTCACGCTTTGAGCTACCGCCAAACTATTTCTCACAGCGGCTGCACCATCGGATGTCCCCGCTGGCCATGTATGAGGGCCCTTGATGTCCCCGCTGGCTGTGTATGAGGGCCCTTGCACACTTCCTTAGGGATCTGTCTTCTGCAAACACCCCATTAGACAGAGCCTGGCCGCAGTGTTCCGCCTGAATGCTGCATTTATTTTTCTCCTGCGGACTGCGTGTGCCTGCTGTTTGCTTCTCACGCGTGGTGGGTGTAGCCTGCCTGCTCCGCGGCCCCCTGGATGGGGCAACCCTCTGTGCCCCCACAGCCCCCTCAGCCTCTGTGCTCCTTCTCACTGCGTGGAGACCCTTCCCCATCTCCAGGCGAAGAGCAGCCCTGCACAGCCCCTCCATGCCTGCCCAGACACACCGGTTCACGGAAAATTAACTCATGGGGCAAGATGCTGGATTCCTACGTTGGGTGCTTGTGAAAATGACAGGACAGGGGCGGCCAGTTAGCTCAGGTGGTTAGAACGCAGTGCTTATAACACCAAGGTTGCCGGTTCGATCCACACGCTCTCCTCAACTAGATAGAAACAACTACTTGACTTGGAGCTGATGGGTCCTGGAAAAACACACTGTCTTCCCCCTCCCCCCATCAAAAAAAAATGACCGGACAGTTAGTTTTCCAAAGAAAGCCACTTACCGCGACTCTTCCCTACATTCCCAGAGGAAAGGGGACATCTGGAGCACCACAGTTTTACTGCCTGTCTTGAACCGCCATGGTTATATATCTCTTTTTCCCACCACACAGAATTAAGGCCGCAGCAGGAGTGAAAATAATGGCCGTGAGAATCAGCAGCGAAGACCAATGGGCAGTTCAGGAGGAAATAGATCATGGCGACGACCAGACGACGGCCGCCCTCACCTGTGTGGGCCATCACCTGGACACGCAGAGCAGGTAAGCGCTGAGGTGCCTCGGCAGTGGTGGGCCGGAGGGGCGGGGGGCTGTGAGAGCTGATGGCAACATGACCTGCGTATAAGGGAAGCGAGGCCTCTGCCTCTCCTGGGAAATGTGTTCCTTGGAGTTCGTCAGCGCAGCTGAGCCACGCAGCTTCCAAATGGCTCCTTTCCAGGGACACGCTGCTTTTATTCGCTATGCTTTTTATACTCCAATGACCTAATTAGCTTGGCAGTCTCAAAAATTACCTGAACTCACATTTGTCACAGTGCAGGGTTTGATAACCATATTTTAAGAATTTATTATTATCATTATTGTTATTGTTTGCAGTGAAGAGTTAAAGCACGAAATGGGGAAAATAGAAATGATTTAAGAGGCAAGGGGGAAATGTACCTTTTTTATGAGCAAACTGACGGTGGCTGTAGCTGCTGAGTAATTGTCTCTTAGTGCCTCAGTGTAGTCATTCTGCTGATGGCTCACCTGGGTATTGGCATATGGCTTCAGAATGTTAAGTTGGGTGAACTTGGCATTGCTGGCAGGCAGCTCGTGTTCACCAGCTCAGGTACCAGCCTTGGGTTTCGCGGGCTGAGTCGCCTGGGAGGGTGCTGCTAACCATCCTGTACCAGGGGGCCCAAGAGGCAGACAGAGCTCTCACCGCGTCCCCACAGGCTTCCCTCTTGGCCTCTGTTCTCTTCCCCTTTTACTGACCATGCGTTGGCTATGGGGTTGTTCAGTGGTCCGGTGAACCAGTGATGCTGACACGCGCACCCCCCCACCCCGCTCCCTTGCTTCAGAACCACCAGTGGCTCACACGTCAGCCACAACGAGACTCCAAGTCCTCAGATCTGTTACTTATCGCCTTCCACGGTCATTACTTGTTCTCTTTTCTTTCTCCTCTAGTATTTAAACACTTCGAGGTCTACAGTGTTAGGCAGAGAGGGGGAGTGGATGAATGAGAGAGTGAATGAGTGATGAATGAGTGAGGGAATGAGTGAATGAATGAGTGAGTGAATGAGTGAGTGAATGAGTAAATGAATGAGAGAAGGAGTGATGAATAAGTGAGTGAATGAGTGAAGGAGTGATGAATGAGTGAGTGAAGGAGTGAATGAGTGAGTGAATGAGTGAATGAATGAGTGAAGGAGTGAGTGAATGAATGAATGAGGAGTAGGTGGGTGGGTGGGAACATGAGAAATGGAGAGATTGGGTGGGGCTGGCCTTTTCCAATGGAGTTGTGTGCTGAGTCCTGTCTCTGCTTGGGGGACCCCAGCCAACCTTAGCTGAAACCCTGTTCTGCCTGCCTTTGAAGATGTCTTTCCAAGGGCAAGGAGTGACTCAGGGTGAGTGGCCAGGAGCCTTCTACTAGGAATATTGGTCAAGTGATGTGGGCACCTTTCACTCTAAACTCAACATTCTGGTCAGCATCCTTTCTGCACCCTCACGTGACCCATGGTGTCCCTGGAAACCTGTATCTGCCTGCTGAGCACCCCCACCTCCTGAGCTGCCAATAGATGCAGAGAGCCTGGGATTTTTATATTTGCTCAGGTGACTTCAGGTGCAAGTCATAGCGTACCCACCTAAAAGTGGTGCAACTGTAGGGTTTTATCATCTGACATGACAACAAATTTAGAGGCGGGTAGTTCGGTGGTTGGTTGACCAGCAGCACCGTGGTGTCACCCCGGCGTGTCCTGTCTTCTTAGTCTATTGTACCCAGTTCACTGGCTGTCATCCTCTAGTCTTTTTCCCTCATGGTCACAAGATGGCTGCAGCAGTTCTGGTCATCACAGACTCACCCAGTTGTATACAGAGAGTGAAAGGGAAGGGGGCTTCTCCTCACACATCTCTTTTTACCAGAGAAGACCTCTTTAGCAATTTCTATGCAAGTCTTGCCTCTGGATCTCATTGGTAAGCAGTGGGTTCCATGCCTCTGCCCAAGAAGCAAGCTAGTCTTGGAAAGTGACTGCCTGGTATTATCGTCAGGCTTGGTGGTGGGAGATGGCCAGCTGTCAGGGGAGGAAGGTGGGAGAGTGGTGGTCCGCCAGCAGTGTGTGCCCCACTCTTCAGAGGTGATGTCGGTCACGGGTAATGGCTTGGTCTCTGATTTGCACAGAGACCCGTGCGTTAGCGTCCCCACTGGAAGGCTTCTCCTGGTTGCTGGGCTGCTTCTCAGGGACCTTTGTCCCACTGAGGACGTCAGGGACCATACTGATGAAGTGGAAGCAGAAAGGGGGCCTGGGGCGCCTCACGCAAATGGACAAGTTCAGGGGTGGGCTGGTCCCGGGGCGTCTGGCGGGTGCTCGGGCAGCATCCTTGTCAACCTGTCTCTTGTCTGTCCTCTGGGTTGGCATTATCTCAGCAGGCTGTTCCTTCCTGGTGGCATGTTGGCCACCGCATCTCCCAGCGGCCATCCTGCTGGCTTTGTCACTCCAGGGAGAACACTGCTTTTCCCCATTGGGTCAGCACAAGTCCTGGGGGTGCTGGTCACTGAGTCTGTTTGGCGTAACTTGGATCACGGACCCCGAACCAGTCTGTGTAGCCAGCCCTGGAAGTGGGGGTGGATGCACCCACCTGGACAACATGGGCTTAGTGTATGGGGGAATGGTCTAGGCTGTGTGTGTGTGTGTGGGGGGTAGATGGATGCTGGGAGGGTAGAAACAGAGGTGGCCGGGCAGTTACCATAGTCCTGCTGACCCTCATGTTCTCCAGATGGGATGCTGTGACTTACACCCTCAGAAATCACTGCCAGGGTACAGGATGGTGGCGCCCGTGGTCTAAGCATATAGGAAATTAATTTTGTTGAACTATTGGACTGATCAAGTGGTAATGTTTTAAATTGAAGGAGACGCGGAGGCTGTGGTTATCACTTTTGGCTTTGTGAGAATCGATTTTGCACCCTTTAGAAGAGATGAAAGAAGGTTCCAAGAGAAGAAAAGTAGCTACATAACCAGAATTACATAATTACGAGACGTCTCAAATTCCCGTATACTCTTTCTCCTTCACTTTTAGTTTCCCACCTCCCTTGGGCTGTAAGGACAATGGGCATTGTTCTTTGGTGTGACAATTCATGCTTATCTCATGTCCCTCTCAAATCCATTCCATAATCTAAATAAATAATTGCTTCTTGTTACGCGTTTTTTTGGTTGTTGAATTGTGATATCAAATGGGGCGTGAAATACAGGCTTACAGACCATGTTTGCTGGCTAACAAAGTGAATATGTGAATATCCCTAACGAAACGTCCCACAGAAAGCTGTAATCTCTGAATTGTGACAACCTTGGGTGAAATCGAGTTCTTAATAGAATATAATGTACTTTACTGCCTGAAATTCTGTGATAAGAATTAAAAATGTGTTGCATGGGAAGACCCAACAGGCTCAGCTAGAAAGGCTGTGAAGGTCTTAATGTGAAACATTTTAATGAACGCTCATTGTGAGGGAATGTGAGGAGTAAGATGAAAACCACTAGATAGAGACTGGTGTTGCCAAAAAAGAAGCGAAGAGGTTAGAAAAATAAGCAAATTTGAAAGTGTTCAGAACAGATAACATGGAAGCAGAGGAAAGGAAATCGAGACGATGGACTATTTGTATGAGAACCACGCGTGGCCGGAGAGCTAGAGACAAGGTTGGTGCTTGAAGGGTTTCTGTCTGGCTGGTGGGACCCGAACCTCAGAGGAAAAACGGTGCAGCATTAGGTGCTGTCAGAAACCACAACACAGAGCACGTTTTCATCTAAAAACTGGAACGGAGGCAGACGGAAGCTCCGTGGTGTACCACGGAAGTAGGCATTTGTGCTTCTCCATTGGGTAGAAAGACAAAAGCCCTAAAATAGGTTTCTTTACGGACACAGACACACCCCACATGATTGTAACCCAGCTCAAGGTGAAATAAAGGTCAAAGGCAAATGTTTACTGTATTGGAAAATCTGGAGTTTCAGTTTTTCTTTGTCTGCTCTAATCCAAAAAGTGTATAACCCACTGAGCAGATGAAGGGATCACCGTTTTAACAGACTCATCGTTTTTGGTGAAATTTAACAGTTGAACAGTAAGCAACAAACAATGTTAAGACAGGAAAGTTACCGTGTCACGTGTCATTTTATGGATTTGTGAAACACGACTATCCTAAATCTTTCACTGCACTTTAAGGAGTCTTATTCTCGTTAAACAAAGAAAAAGATGACAAACACAGTGGAATATTATTCAGCAATAATAAAGAATGAAATCTTGCCATTTGCGACAACATGGATGGACCTAGAGGGTATTATAGTGAAATGAGTCAGACAGAGAAAGACAAATACCCTAGGATTTTACTTATATGTGGAATCTAAAAAAATAAAAAAATAAATGAAACAAAATAGAAACAGATGCACAGATATGGAGAAGAGGCTGATGCTTGTCAAAGGGGAGATGGGAGTAAAAAAATGATGGAAGTACAAAAATATATATATATATTTCTTATGATTGAAAAAAAAGAAGAAAACCAAGAGTGAAGATGGTTCAGTGATAACAGCTGCCTCTATTCCTAGGAACAAGTATTTTTCGCTACCAGACTCAGTTTATGTTGGTTTCTTTCATCCTGAAAAAGATTTATTGAGAGGTAAAAGACCAAGTGGAATGTTTCAGTGTGACTTTGAGGACAGTTTTGTGTGACTCTGCTGTTTACCCCTTATTTTAAAAATGAAAAACCATGTAATGCTTATGACATGCCAGGCACTATTGTAAACCTTTTCAGAAAATAAACTTCAGAAAATCAGAAATATTAGAAGCCTGTCCGGCAGTAACTGTTGTTATTCCCAATGAGCAGATGTGTACCTTGAGGCACAGTTTAAATGCGTTCCGAAGGTCTCAGAACCGGAAGTAGCCAAAGAAACCTGCCTTTAGAGTCCCAGCTCTAAACGACGCCCCCGACGTTGTTTCATCCGGCACGGCCGGAGGTGCCCCTTCTGTGCACGCCCTGCTCTTAGCATTCCCCTTTCCTCCGCCATCTGTCAGCTCGCTTGTCTTCAGCG